CCCCCCCCCCCCCCCACCCCGTATCCTGAGCCCTCAGTACCTTGCTCTCCTCCCCACACTTTGCCCTAATCTCTTGGACGTGTATGGAACCGCCGGAGGTGGGCAAGGTCCTCAATGAATATTTCTCCTGTGTGTTTACCGTGGTGAAAGGACATAGGACTTGGGAACTTGGGGAAGTTAGTGGCAATATCTTGGGGACAGTCCATATCACAGTAGACGAGGTGTTGGACGTATTAGAATGTATGAAGGTGGATTAAATCCCCTGGTCCTGACCAGATATTTATCCAAGAACCCTGCAAGAGGCTAGAGAAGAAATTGCAGGAGCCCTGGCTGATCTACTTGCATCACCGTTAGCTCAGGATGAGGTCCCAGGGTAGTGAATGTTGTGCCCTTGTGCAAGAAGGGCTGCAAAGACAAACCTGGGAATTAAAGACCAGTGAGCTTAACATCTGTAATAGGTAAGTTACTTGAGAAGGTGCTGAGGGATAAGATATACGCACATTTGGAAAGGCCGGGTTTGATTAGGAGTAGTCAGCATGGCTTTGTGCGTGGGAGATCGTACCTCTCAAATTTGTCAAAGTTCTTTGAAGTGACCAGGAAGGTTGAGGAGGGCAGGCCGGTAGATGTAGTCTATGTGGATTTCAGTAAGGCCTTTGATAAGGTTCCACGTGGTAGGCTGCTCTGGAAGGTTAGATCGCGTGGAATCCAGGGAGAGCTGGCAAATTGGATACACAATTGGATCAATGGTAGGAAGCAGAGAGTGATAGTGGAAGGATGCTTGTCGGCCTGTGACTAATGGTGTGCCTCAGGGATCAGTGCTGGGCCCATTGCTGTCTGTTATCTATGTCAATGATTTGGATGAGAATGTACAAGGCATGACTGGTAAGTTTGTGGATGACACTAACATAAGGACGGTATCGTGGACAGTGAGGAAGATGGTCAGAAATTGCAGCAGGATCTTGATCAGCTGGGGAAGTGGGCCGAGAAATGGCAAATGGAATTTAATATAGGTAAGTGTGAGATGGTGCATTTTGGAAAGTCAAGTCCAGGTAGGAGTTTCATGGTGAATGGTAGGGCCTTAAGAAGTGGAGTGGAACTGAGGGACCTTGGTGTTCAGGGAGACGGTTCTCTGGAAGTGGAGTCACAGGTAGATAGGGCAGTGAAGAAGGCTTTTGGCACACTGGGCCTTCATCCTTCAAGGCATTGAGTAGCGTGATTGTGTGTGTGGTTTTTTTGGAAGGGGTGACCAAGAAGGTGGAGCAGCCCCACGAGGACTTTAGAGAGGCCTCTGTCCCGGAGTTCAATTTTAGAGACGTGTGTGGTGTCGCATTTTGTGAAGGCAGATCAGTTTGGGACTTGCACAGCGAATGGCAGGGCCCTGGGGAGTGTTGTCGGACAGAGACCCGGGGTGTCACTGTTATATATGTATGTATATGTGTTCACAGCGTGCTCTGACCGGTATCTCTCCCTCTCTCTAACAGCACGCTCCCCGTTGTGTCACTGTTATATATAGTGTGTGTTTACACAGCGTGGTCTGATCTGTATCTCTCTAACAGCACACTGTCCCTGCTGTGTCACTGTTATATATAGTGTGTGTGTGTTTACACTGTGCGCTCTGACCCATATCTCTCTCTCTAACAGCACTCTTCCCCACTGTTGTGTATAGCGTGTGTGTGTTTACGCAGTGCGCTCTGACCCATATCTCTCTCTCTGTTACAGGCCGCCCTCTGCTCTGTCCTGGAGAGTCCTGCTGACCGCCCCGAGCTACGGGCGACATGCGACCGGGTGATCCGAGCCTGCATCCAGCGCCTGGGCTCGTGCTCGGGCGAAGCCCATCGGGGTCACCTCGCTTCCCTGCTGCGGCTGGCCGAGCTGGCGTCGGACGGTCACCGCTGCTCGGCCGGGGGGATCGGCGGGGGGTCCCCGCTCTACCTGGAAAGACTCCTCTTCCACCTGCTGCGCTCGGCCTGCTCATGCGGCCTGGGGCCCTCCTGCGGCCCCCTCTCGGACCGGCTGCTCTCCGGCCTCTCGGCGTGCCCCGGCCGGGAGGAGGAGGTGGCTGGGGTGGGGCGCTCCGCTTTCGCCCTGCTCTGGGGAGCAGCCTCCTCCCTGCCCCCGGGGCCCGGGCTCTCCCTCAGGCTCCGGGCCCTGCCTTTCCTCACCCCGGAGCCGTCCCCTTCCCCCCTGCTACCGCGGTTCATCCAGGCCTGTCGCCTCTACCTGACGGAGGAGGGAGGAGGAGGAGGAGGGGGGGAGTCCCGGGGGTCCCACCTTGTCCTGGAGACCCAGGGCCTCCTCGGGGTCCTGCTGAAGGGCCCCTGGCCCCCGTCCCCTGGACGAGACCAGCTCCGGCCCCTCCTCTCCTGTCAGCTGGCCCTCCAGGCCGCCACGGCCCTGAGCCGCAGCGGTTGCCCCTCCGAGGCCCGGCGGCTGCTGTCTGCGGCCCGCTCTCTCCTCCGCCAGTCTGGGGAGGGGGAAGGGGGACCCTTCCTCACCGCCCTGCGCCTGTCCTCGCTTTCCCCCGGCCTCCGCGGCCCCCCGTCCGCCCTGGCCCAGGCCCTGGCCCGGGCCCTGGGGGCCCTGCGCTTGCTGGGAGCCGACGCGGGCTCCCCTGGGAGACGGGCCCTGGCCGACGGGTGCGGGTTCTTGCTGTCGGGGGTGCGGCTGGTGGCTGGGGGCGGTGGCGGGGAGAAGGCCCCCCCACTGAGGACAGAGGAGCTGCTGCAGCTGGCCAGGTTTCTGCACGTCTACCTGGAGCAGGTGAGATGTTGAGGCGCCCGGTTCGTCCCCCCACACACAGCAGTGAAGGGGGTGGGGGCTCTGTGTTTGTTGGGGGGAGGGCGTGTGTCATATCCAGCTGGTGGTGATGACTGTCTCTGTCACCTTCCCCCACCCTCACCACAGGAAATGTCGAGTTTTTCGGACGCTGCGTCCCTGAAGCAGTGCTATCAGAACCTGGAATTCTTCACCCGCGCGGTCTACGATTTCCTGCTGGAGCCTCAGGTATGGAGACCTCAGCCCACCGTCCCAACCCCAAGCCTCGTGACTATCCCCCGCACTCCAACCCTGGGTGCGGACCCCCCGCCCCGCTCTCGCTCCCCAGGTACAGACCCCAGCCCTCCCTCCACGCTTGCTCCCCGGGTATGGAACCCAGCCTCCCTCCTGCCCTGTACCCCTGTACCGCCTACGATCCCAGGTACCTCGATGTATTGCTCCATCAGACTGACAGAGGCGCTGTCAGGTTGGGTTGTTCAGGGTAGATCTGATTAATTCCCCGTCTGTCTGTCTGTCTGTCTGTCTCCCCACCCCCGACCCCGATCCCGATCACGATGAGGACTCCGATCGTGCTGTCAAGTTGCTGGTTCCGTGTAAAGAAATTGTGGAGAAGATGGTGGAGTTGGAAGAGGATCTGGTCGCTCAGGGACAGATGGATTACGTCGGTGCAACAGGTAACAGCCAGAGCTAATTGGTGTGAGAGTGTCAGCTCCCTGTTGACACAGCCCTATCGCTCTAACCTGTGTACACACACTCTCTCTACCCTGTCCCCTTGCCTC